TTTGGGGGTGAGGGGGTTTTTGGTTGGAGGGGAAGGGGTGGGGGGGGGTGTCCAGGGGCGCTGGGGGGTCCTGGGGTGGCCTCTTCCTCCTCCCGGGGGGGGATTCTGTCCTCTCCACTGCTGATTCCAACCCTTCCAGTGCTGATTCCACCTTCTCCAGGGCTGATTCCGCCTCCTCCAGTGGGGATTCCAACCCTTCCACTGCTGATTCCACCTTCTCCAGGGGGGATTCCACCTTCTCCCGTCTTGATTCCACCTCCTCCAGTGCTGATTCCAACCCTTCCACTGCTGATTCCACCTCCTCCAGTGGGGATTTCACCTTCTCCAGAGCTGATTCCACCTCCTCCAGTGCTGATTCCAACCCTTCCAGTGCTGATTCCACATCCTACAGTGGGGATTTCACCTTCTCCAGGGCTGATTCCACCTCCTCCAGTGGGGATTCCACCTTTTCTACCACTGGTTCCATCTTCTCCCGTCCTGATTCCACCTTCTCCAGGGCTGATTCCACCTTTTCCACCACTGGTTCCATCTTCTCCAGTCCTGATTCCACCTTCTCCAGGGCTGATTCCACCTTTTCCACCACTGGTTCCATCTTCTCCAGTCCTGATTCCACCTTCTCCAGTGGGGATCCCAATCCTTCCAATGCTGATCCCACCTCCTCCAGTGCCTCTTCCACCATTTCCAGCACTGGTTCCACCTTATCCAGCACTGGTTCCACCTTATCCAGCACTGGTTCCATCTTCTCCAGTGCCGATTCCATCTTCTCCAGTGGGGATTCCAGCTTCTCCAGTGCTGATTCCACCTTCTCCAGCACTGGTTCCATCTTCTCCAGCGCTGATTCCAGCTCTTCCAGTGCTGATTCCTTTTTTTCCAGCGCTGGTTCCGTCTTTTCCGGTGCTGGTTCCACCTCTTACAGCTCTGATTCCACCTCCTCCAGTGGGGATTCCACCTCCTCCAGTGGGGATTCCAACCCTTCCAGTGCTGATTCCACCTTCTCCAGGGGGGATTCCACCTTCTCCAAGGGGGATTCCACCTTCTCCAGTGGGGATTCCAACCCCTCCAGCCCTGATTCCGTCTTTTCCAGCGCTGGTTCCACCTCTTGCAGCTCTGATTCCACCTCCTCCAGGGGGGATTCCAACCCCTCCAGTGCTGATTCCACCTTCTCCAGTGCCAATTCCACCTTCTCCAGTGCCGATTCCACCTTCTCCAGTGGGGATTCCAACCCTTCCACTGCTGATTCCACCTTTTCCCGTGCTGATTCCACCTCATCCAGCGCTGATCCCACCTCCTCCAGTGGTGGTTCCACCTTCTCCCGTGCTGATTCCACGTCCTCCAATGCTGATCCCACCTTCTCCAATGCTGATCCCACCTTCTCCAGTACCTGTTCCACCTTTTCCAGCACTGATCCCACCTTTTCCAGTGCTGATTTCACCTTTTCCCGTGCTGATTCCACCTTCTCCAGTGCTGATCTCACCTCCTCCAGTGCCTGTTCCACCTTATCCAGCACTGGTTCCATCTTTTCCATCACTGGTTCCATCTTTTCCAGCACTGGTTCCACCTCTTGCAACTCTGGTTCCACCTTTTCCAGCTCTGATTCCACCTTCTCCAGTGCTGATTCCACCTTCTCCAGTGCTGATTCCACCTTCTCCAGTGCTGATTCCACCTTCTCCAGCGCTGATTCCAACTTTTCCGGTGTTGATTCCAACTCTTCCAGAGCTGGTTCCACCTTTCCCAGCTCTGATCCCACCTTTCCCAGCCCTGCTCCCAGAGATCTGGGAATGGCTCTGGAGCACTGGGAGTGGGAATGGAGCTCCTCTGGAGTCAGGGAATCAGGGAATGCTTCCACTGGGAAGGGATTTTCAGGATCATCCCATTCCATGTTCAGGGACAATTCCCGCTATCCCAGGGGATCCAACCCAGCCTGGGACACTGCAGGGATCATCCAGGGGCAGCCACAGCTCCCCTGGGAATTCCAGCCCAGCCGGGAATCCCTTCCCAATCTCCCACACTCTGATCCGATTACGGGCCCGTTCCCTCTGGAGCGCTGCTGCTTCCCGGAGCCATTCCCAGGATTCTCCACACCCATTCCCGCTCCGTGGGGTCTCCATCCCTCACCTTTCCCCTTTTTTCCCTCCATCCCACAGTTCTCTGCCGAGCTGGAGCAGCTGGATCAGCTCCTGCCCTCCCTGGAGAAGGCGCCGCAGCTGCCGGGAATGTGCGAGCGGAGCGACGGCGGAATGTCCGGAATATCCGGAATATCCGGAGTGTCCGGAGTGCCGGTGAAGCCGGAATTGTTGGCCCCCCCGCTCCAGCCCAGCACGGCTGCCAGAGCTCCCTCGGGAATGCCCCGTACGTGGGGCTGGATTTGGGATCCCAAACCCCTTCCCTTCCCTTCCCTTCCCTTCCCTTCCCT